TGTGTAAAAAATGTATATATACATTTAAAAAAAACTAACTTACTATGATGTTTTTGTTTGCATGCACACACATAATGTGTGATTATGTGAAGTACTAAATATTGTAGTTTCACTTTCACTAATGGTATGACACTGAAGTTTGCTGTCGTTTCTAAGTAGAAACTGCATTACTGAGCCTCATTTTATTAATGCCTCTTCTACCGATTGATTGGGTTCATTTATGGATGTAGATGTGGTTAACTGACTTCAGTGTGTTCCAGAATTATTATTCAGTAGCTTAAATTAACTTCTTCTGTACTAATTAATGTGTGGCAGAATGTGATTGAGTTTGCCTGAAATATACTGTACCTTTCGAGGCTTGAAAGACAGAGAAACATTTATCGTTTTGCTGCAAGTAAATTCTAGTTATAAATGTATGCCAACTTTCTTTATGGCTCCCTTGTGTCACTTGTTTAGCTCAGTGAGAAGTGAAAGCACCCAAGCAGTGCTACAAGCACCACCAGTCTTTCCTGCTAAAAAGGGCTTGGCTGTTCCCAACCCATACACAACCTTTTACAGTCCAATTTTATTTTTTGTTGTGTTTAAAGTGAGTCACGTGGAAGATCATGTGCTTTCCCATATTTAGGGAGCCATCTAAAAACAAACTGGAAGTTGGCTACTGCAGTTTCAGAATGTTTGTGTTCAAGTTTATCTGAAAAAAAGAGATCAGATCTGCATTGAGCAGCTTTCTAAAACTATGAACACATCCCTACTGTTTTTTGTTTTCTAATATCCTTGTTGCATTGAGGTCAGTGACTGCTCATCGTTGTGTTATGTCTGATTTGGTGCGTTTCCCAGCTTACAACTGGAACTGAGCTCCCAGGAGCTCGTTTTACAAACAGGTCAAGTGACAAAGCAGGTGATTATGCAGGATTAGTACACTCTGTTTGTTTACCACGGTGCTACACATGGTTGATTAACATACATGTGTGTTTTCTAAACAGTTATTATAGTATTATGTTTGCTAAACTGGTTCTCAATTGCATTTTTTTCATCTCAAACCATAGAATAAGCAAGTATTTGCAAAAACGAGATGGGATATGTCATTTGTTATTTGACTTAAAATATATATATGTAAACATAGATGAACATGTAGTAGTATATGTTTTTATTTATATTTTGTGAAGGGGGGACCCCCCCCCCAAAAAAAAAAAAAAAAAAAAAAGGTTTCCTATATTAAAACTTAATGATGTTTGTCACCAGTTCAAGAGATATAATCAGCACGTGTTACAACATAGGCTCAGGTGAAAAATTCAAGCTGGCATCACAACATTAGTATGTGCTTTACAGGCCCAGATTATGCAACATTCAAAGGCATGCTAAAGAAAGTTTTAGAGAGTGTTGATGCTCATAGAGGTGGCTCTGAAGAGGCGATGGCAGTAGACTCTAAAATGACACAACTGCAGCAGGAGTTTTTGAGCTTCAAAGACTGGTCAAGTGGGCCATATGGGTTATAAAGACTGCTTTAAATAGAAACATATGAATAATAAATGAATAGCTACATATGAATTGCAGGATATCTCATGTGTAATCAGAGAGTGCCTCTCTCAGGGTTTCCTATTTTTGCTCCAGTTTGCTCCAGATTAAAACCAAATGATTAGTCCAGTATTGTTTCATTGTCTGTAGGTGCGGCTGGAGTGTTGGTTGGACACCCATTTGACACAGTAAAGGTAGGTAATAACAACGTTATTGCCATTTTTTTCCGTTTTTTTTTCTTCCCCCACTCTCTCTACTTGCATATTTTAAAAGTGAAATCAGTTGCTTATAATGTGTAAAACGTGCATGATTCTAGCCTTCCAGTGTTGAGGTGATCATTCCAAACATCTTGTCTTTCAGGTAAGACTGCAGGTCCAGAGTGCTGATAAACCTCTATATCGTGGGACTTTCCACTGCTTCCAGTCCATCATACGTCAGGAGTCGGTATGTGGATTTCTTTAGTCGTTCATTTTCTTCATATTATCCGGTGCAGGGTTGGAGCCTACCCGAGCTCTCATAGGGAAAGAGGCGGGGAACATGCTGGACAGGTTACCAATCTATCACAGGGCGTGCAGATTGCTTTCACAGATCAATCTAATGCTAGTATGCAGTAATAATATGATTACAGAGATCATGGTTATATATTATAGGTTTGCTTATTAGATTAAAGTCAATAAAGTCAAAGTGACGTGTAGACTTAAGTGATGCTTGATTCTTTTTCACACACTAACATAGGGATGGGTATCGAAAACCGGTTCTTGTTGAGAACCGGTTCCCACTGTTTCAATTCCTTGGAATTGTTTGCCAGTTTTGCAAACGATTCCCTTATCGATTCCAGACGCCCCAAATGACTTCACCACGTTACGGAGCGTCATTTACCTGGCAGGACACAGGGCGCCTAAGCGGCTCAAACGCT